GGTTAATCTCTGCGACCTTAGAGATCTATTGTGTCCCCCTTTCTTGAGTTATAACTCATCATACAGTCCCAGGACTTCCTACGGAGACCCGTGTCCTTCACAGTCGAGGAGCTACGACCCAGGCCGGGTAGACGAAACGGTAGGTGACGGTAGCTTGTGTCGCCTGTTGGGTTTAGAGCATGATACAAAGAATACAAGGTATGATATTGCGCAGGTTGGTCACTACGTCACAGGTGATAAACGGCACCATTGGTCGGCAAGCTTCGCGCGCCAATTTCAAATTGCCATACAGTTGACACAATAAATGTGAAAATAAATTTTCAATTGTCAAGCTCGATGATTTGACATAACTTTTGGGGGTTATGTCTTAATTCTTCCCTATTTTAGGTCTTTTTTTATTAGTGGCAATTGAACAATATGGATATTTTTTTGTATGGCGTATGACGTCACAGGTGGTATGCGCAAACTTAACGAAATTGGAGCTGCTATCGATCATACCTTGTTTTCTTTGTACCATGGGTTTAGAGGTAGGAGGTAGGCTCCCGACACTTGGAGGAGGTGGTAGCTTGTATGCCACTTGCGGAGGATGGTCTCACGCAAGTGTCAGCCACCTCTCCTGTAGTTCTCTTTGGGTTTGGACCCTTGGAACTTTCATTGTTACTGTTCCCAGTGTCGCTAGGGGGTTTCCCCACAGCTTCACCGGTGATGTTTTTATTACTATTATTACCAGATCTCATAGTGTTCCCATGAGTCGCTAAGGACAGTCGGTCCACTTCTACAGAGCCCCGCATGTAGAAGTAAGGGGTAAAATACAATGGGGTTCCCCCCGATTCCCCAAGGTTGAGGCTGTCCGTAGACCCGCCCGGTATCGTTATATGTCTTGGTGCAATTCTCTGGCCACGACACTACAGTCAGGGACAAGACGATGAGTGAGATGCTTCTTAGACCAAGCCAAGTGCTAGGGGGGATTCCCCCCAGCACCTGACCAGGAGCTTCCCCACCAACGACAGGGTCTTGCATCTCCTAGGGGAAGAACCGTAATAGATACGAACATGGTTAAATTGGGGCAAAGTTGCGCTTTAGGATGTTTCCAAGATGCCATCAAAAAAGTTTTAAAGATTTTAAGGATTGCTGAGTTTTTTGGAAAAAACGGATTTTTTTGAAAATCAATTTTGTTTTTTCCTGCCGTTACTTTTTAGAAAATCAAAAAACTAATTACACATTCTCATACCCACTTTATTAGAGCCATCTGTTGGTATTTTCAGGTTTTCAAATTTGCTGATAATTTGTGAGATACAGAGGCCAACTTATTTTTTTTAAATACGGACCTGCATTTTTTATTTCAGATTTTGAAAGAACACGGTCTCCTGAGTACAATGATATGCCACACTTAGTATTTTTTTGTTTCAGACATTTGAACATAATTTATTTAAACTAATTTCAGGTGCGGCTCTGTTTTTTTTTAATATTTAGTCAATTTGTCGTTACAATATTGATAAGCAAATTTATATTGATAAGATATTCAAACTTAACAATGACGTTGGGTAAAACATTGAATACGGAAAATCAAATGCAATAAAATAATGAAAAATAATATAACATAAATAATATAGTATAACATAAACAATCAAATAATTTCACCGGAAGATGGATTGGAACCAGCGAGGTTGCTGGACCTGTCGTCAAGGGGCGGGGGGCATTACTTGACGTCATTTGTAAAAGTGAAATTAATACATTTCAATATTTACAATAAAGAGTACAAAATCGTCGCTGTAAAGTCAAAACCTCGTATCTCCAAATTTTGAGATTTAGGTTACTAGTGTACAATATTTCAGTAAATATGTCCGCGTTAAATGCAACACCTCGTATTAAGGTTAGACGTTATTGTTATCGTATTAAGGTTAGACGTTGTATATTCACTGCGCATCACAATATTTTACACTCGTAACTCGCAATCTCAAAATTTGGAGATACGAGGTTTTGACTTTACAGCGACGATTTGTATCTCACAAATTATCAGCTAATTTGAAAATCTAAAAATACTATCAGATAGTCCTAATAAAGTGGCTATGAGAATCTGCAATTAGTTTTTTGATTTTCTAAAAAGTAATGACAGGAAAAAATAAAATTGATTTCCAAAAAAATCCGTTTTTTCCAAAAAACTTAGCAATACTTGAAATTTTTAAAACCTTTTTGAAGGCATCTTGGTGAACATCCCAAGGAGCAACTTTGCCCCAATTTAACTATCTTCGTATCTATTAAGGTTTCCGAGATACCAATGCTCGTACCTCGAATTTGTAGCACCCTGTATATAAAATATGAAAGAGAAATTTCGCAAAATTTGGTAAAGTTTTTAACAACTACAAATTCCATAAGAAAATCAAATACAGAATCAACATTTTCAATAGTTATTAACGTTTTTTTACGATTTAGCAAACATGAATTAGCTAAACTTCTAACTAATGAAACATAATATTATCTTCTATCAGTGCTATCTACATAAAAAATTACCGATGTACTTTGATAAATTACATTTCCACATTTCACGTTTTATTTTCGTTTTTCTATGTAAATTTTTCACGAATCCAATCAGCGTTAAAAGTGGAAATATCGATCATAATGCTAGGGTAAAATATGTGTATAATGATATTCGGTAACAAACTGCAATGATATTGAGGTTTATTTTAAGAGTCATCAAACAAAACATGATATTAATTTTTAGGAAAAACGATTTGAAATGATTAGTATTTTTTGAACAATAACTGTTTTCAATTTAATTTATCTAGATTATAAAAGTGTCTCTAAAGCTACGTCTACACATAACGTTTTACCATAGTATAAGGCAATTAGTATCTTTACTCTTTGTCAAATCCTTGGTTCTTTTTCTGCCACTTTATATGACCTTGTTCTCGCGTCCCGTGACCACTGACGTAGCTGTATAGTCGTGGTCTATAACCAGGCAAAGTATAGTAGTGGCACTCGCCATAGTTTCACAAAGATGTATATAGAAAAATATGAGTTCACAATAAAATAAAATAAAAAAAATTGATCATCAAGTAAAAATTTGCTTGAAAACAAAATATTTTCACATTTAGTGTAAGTAACAATTCTTCTGTATCTGAAAATCTTCTGATGGGAAGAAATGCGGAAAACAATATATAATGACATATTTTATATTATTATCTATTTCAAAGATTTTCTACAACTTTTTTTAATTTAAAACAAGTTTAATTTTAACATTAATGTGTTTGTTTTGTAGTAATATATTGATTAGGTGATTTTCATTGGATAACTAATACATTGAACAACACATTGTATTAATAATAAAATAACATATTTAAACTTCAATAATTGCTAATAAACATTACAGAAATTTCAAAAGAGAAAAGAAGCAAGAACAATGAGAAATAGCATCACTACTTTCTCATGTAATAAAATAATAATTTTTTAGTTATTGTTTGGTTTGGTTGTTATATCTCAAATAACGGGAATTTCCGGTTCTGAACCCTAGTTACCATATTATTAAGAAGTTATGTTTTTTAACTATAAACTAAAAAAAATTCCAGATTTAAAAAAAAAAAAAATTGCGCAGAAAAATCCTTATATTTCTAGGGTCAAAATATACTACCCCTAAAAATATTTGCACTTATTTAAGACTCACCCTGTATAGGGCGATTCACGGTTATAGTAAGTTATAGCGTTTCCGGAACCGGAGCTGTTTTTCGGAACCGGTAATTTCGGTACCATCTAAAAAACCGGGATTTCCAATTTTTTTTTCGGTACTAGCAAATTTTTGTTCAATGATAGTGCATTTCGTTAAACAGCAAGTAAGGGATGGTTGTCAAAAGTAAAATTGATAAAAAATTGAGGTTTAAATGAAATAATATCAAATTATTAAGTAGTAATCAGTCATGAGAAAATTAGCCTGAACACAAACATGATCAGAAATGACACTAAAAAAACTGAAAGCACAATTTTTTGAATTATTATTTCAAGCAATAGCAGCACATAGTAAGGCACTCATTTTTTGTCAATCCGTCTCTGTGCTGGAACGCTCGAACCTCGCAGGTCGACGGACGGACCTCAACTGAAACGCTCTGCAATCTGCCGATATTCGACAGATTGTAAAAACTGGCAGAGAATATTTGGGAGAGTGCAACTACTCACGGTTTTACCTGTCAGTTTTGTATGTCAGATAGATCGGAATACCGTCTAGAGAACTTACGGTAGTTTGACAGTTAACAAGGCAGTCAAAAAATACAAAAAGTGTTTTACTGTCCTAAATTCAAATAAACAACCTTTGAACAAATCAAATAAACATATTTTTTTTAGATTTTTTAATCTGTCTTTTCCTCACAGATCCCCATCGCCATGCCAGAACAAAGGGCGGATCCTCACCCCGAGGCCCCCCAACAGCCCCCCCGGCACAACCCTCTCATCAAGCCCTTCGTGGTCTTAGCCCTGCCGGGCATGTACTTGTTCTACAAGTACAATCAGTACAAGCGGAAGAGAAAAGAGAACGCCACTAGGCGATTGGCAGAGAGAGAATTACAGCATCTCAACAGCAAAATCGTGAGTAAAGTAGATTTATTTTTGTTATATTGAAGTCTTCAGCTTTATTCAGAACCTCTATGAAACGTTAATATTCCGTGGACATAGAAATACTACATATACAGGGTTGTTCACCACATACGACAAATTGTAAGTTTTAGGTTCGTTGAAGAACTATTAGAACTACAATTTAGGAATAATTTTGCAAGATACAGAGTGTCCCAAATGTTAAAAAATATTATAGTTGTATTTTTTTGAATAGAACACACTGTATATTATTCTATTTGTAGATTCTACGATTGAAATAAAGGTAAATTTGATTGAGGTTTATCACACTTAAATCTAATAATTATAGGAATATTTTTAATTTTGTGAAATTGAAGTAAAAAATTTAAGGCTTATTCATTTCTCCAAGGGTATCAAAGTTTTTAATACTAAATAAACTATAATAAAATAAAATAAACTTTATTAATGCATATAAATAAATATAAAACTCAAACTTGTAAACTGGAAATCTTTTTATCTGACGATACGTTGGTTCAACAGTTCTTGTCTCTTCCTTTCTTTCTCAACGAACGATGGCAATTCCGAGGAATTGTCCTTGTTTTCCACAAACTCCAAATACTCCTTGGCCATATCTTCACGTTCTTTGAGCTCCAGTGTGGCCTTTTCCAGCAAATCTAGTTCGTGTTTGTTGAGTTGTGGCAGGCCGCAGTTATGGACAACGCCTCCTCTTGAGAATCGAACTGTAGTTACTAAATATCTAAAAAAACAATTAGTTTTAGTATGTTTATTAAAATGCTGTGTTAAAGCGTTATCCACACGCAACGACTTGTCGTACGATTTTCTTGCGTCGACAAAACGTTGCAGACCAAGTTGTGTCCATATTGTCGTTCATTCTTTTGTATTCTGTCATATCATCATGGAGGAAACATTGCTGCGGTTAGTTTTTGCTATTTGTTTAAATACGTTAAAAAAGTACGTCATAAGCAGTGAGATCGACCGGTGAGAATCCCCACCTTAATACATAATATAGCCAGATAAAAGTACCGGGTGGCCAACTAAGAATGGACGCCGGCTGTATCTCAGGAACTAATTATCGTATAAATTTAGGAAAAAAATTCTAATAAGTAAATTGACCAAGAGAAATCTCTGAAAATTATTTTCAAGTTTGAAAAATATCCGCTAGGGGCGTTTCTCTGATAGCCAATCATAAAACAGGGTTTTTCTCAAAAATATGCAGATGAACAGGTATTTTAAATATCACTATTATAATCATCGAGAAATTTGTAATTTTTTTGATATAGAGTATTTAGCTCTATCTCATAAAATAAAGTGGTGGGGGAAGGTTAAACTTGCTTTTATTAAAATAAGGATAACTCTGGTTTAGGTTAGTCGATTTAAACAAACTAGGGCTCGTTTAAAAGAGCTTTTCTTCCTTAATGATCTCCAGTATAAATTTTGTATCCATATTTTTTTGTGGTAGCTAGAGGGCGCTGTTTGGCATCACAACAGATATTGCCTTTTGCATAAAAAATTTAAATAGGAGGCTATGTTTTTCTTTGCACCATTAAATAGAGCACGAAATTTCCAAAATATTAGCGCAAACCGCAACTTTCTATACTCTCTTTAACGGGAGATATTAAGAAAATAAATCATATTAGGCTGTCGGCTAGTATTATAAGGTATAAAATTTTTGTAGTAGGCTAGGAAACAAAAAGAGGTAAATTTGTTACGTCAAAATATCAAAAAGTTTAAGTTCAGTTTTCATTCGGGCGTTTTTAAAAAAATGACGTCATAAATTTTTAAACGTGTTTATGTAACATTATCGTCCATCCATATAATTTTTACGAATTTCTTGGTTAATTATACGTAGGTAGTTCTCAGATTAAAATGTCCGAAAGTCGGACAATCAATAATTTTCTAAAATTTCTAGGAGTTATGTGCCGCCATAATGTTTTTAACGGAAAACGGCCGAATTTCGTATAGCCGAAAACTAGGGGTTTATTTCATGTAACGTCATTTAGTTATTGATCCAGGTTCGTCTTTGATTTTACTTGTTTTCGTATTTTATCTGTTGTTTGTATTATTTATTATTATATTATATTAGTTGGCCACCCGGTACTATTAGCAGTGTAAATCGATATAATAGATTTGTTTGTTAACAAGAGAAATTGGCGAATGCGCCAGGATATAGCGATTGTTATTTTTAGTTTATTTAATATTAATTAATATTACCTATCAAAATTTATTTAGTACCTAAAAATTATTTTTAGGTACTAAACAAATTTGGGGGTTTAGAATAAAAGGGATACAAGTGACTTTTCCGAAGGTATAGATTTAGATACTTTAGGTGCCCATTTATTTGGTATAAAATGGAATCAAGTAAATTCTACAGTGGCACCTCTGAGTGGCACTAAGTAGAGTAGAGTGTAGAATTTGGTACTTAATTTCCTTTTATACTAAATAAAATGGTATCTAAAGTATCTAAATATGTACTTAAGTCCATTTAATACAAAAAGTCACTTGTATCTTATATCCCTTTTATTCTAAGCTCTAATTAACAATTATCTTTTAAATAGTCTCCAAATGAGAATGATTTTAAAAATTAATTATTTTTGAACCGGAGAAACTTATTTATGCGCCATGGCAGTAAAAATTGAAGACTACTGTTTACTATCCTTTATATTGTATTAAATTCTACTTTGTTATTACCAACTAATATTTAACATCTATAACAATTAAATAATTATTATTAACACTTAGACCCTTAAATGTTCGAATTAAAGAACATAAAGATTATTTAAGAAAAGGAGATTTTCACAAATCTAAGATTTGTCAGCATTCATGGAACACAGGGCACAGAATAAATTTTAATAACGGCAAAATTATAATGAAAGAAGCGATAGCCTCTAAAAGAAAAATAAAAGAGGCTTTTTTAATACAATCTAAGAAAAATAAATGTATTGCTCATGCATCTGTAGATGTTAGTAATGTATGGCAATCGCTTCTTTGATTTTAAAGAACATAACATAAATAAACATAACATACGTAAAAATTAAAAATAATCATACAGAAAGTTTGGGGCTTTTTGGATTTACCTTATTAAGTAATTATTGTTATCAGGTAGTAATTGGTCGCGTTCATCAGGACGTAGCGGCTACCGCAGCGATCGCTAATTTTCTGCTGAACGCGCCGATTAGTTGTGAGCGCTCTGGGATCAGTCGCCATTTTTTCCATCAGATTTAAAATACGCTACGCTATCGATGTATGATGGATTAAACGTCACATACGCCAAATGTCACAAAATGTTTTGGAAAACGAAAACAAATCATTTTGTTTATTGTTCTCGGTTGACTAATCCCCTCGATTTGTGCCAAAAATGGGTGAAAACAATTTAATATGCATTACTTATGATTATGATCAAAAAAGCACGTTCAGCAGGACAACCAATCGATGGTACATCGCTCACTGATCAACTTGTCCTGATGAACGCGACCATTGTTAATTTTGAAGTTTAACTTGATATAATGTCATTTATGTCATTTTAACAGAACGTCAACGGTTTTTGTAGATGTATCTGTTTTAAAAAACTAAAGTGTTCTCGAATAGTTGAATTTAAATATTTTAAATAGTTTTGTTCTTTATTCTTTGTAATTGTTTTGCTTCCGACGACGGAAAGAGATAAACTTTCCGAAACGTTAAACAAAACAAACAAAGAAACAAACAACGCTTTATTGTGCAAAAAGCCAAAACAGCTTCATCGACAAAGCACTCACTAACAACAAAATCACAAAAAAATACAAACAACAAAAAATACACAATACAAATAATACAATTCAAAAAAATTTAAGTCTTTAAAATTACAAAAAGAATATACATGGACAATTTTAGAACAGTACGCAGTAAATAGATATAATTTTAAAGTTTAGAATATTAAATACTTTGACCTTTGACCAGTGTGTGAGATGGTCAAAATTTTAAATTCAAAATTGTTCATAATCAAACATCAACAAAAAGTCGTTTACCGCATATAGGGCTCTCTCCAGTAGGTATGATTTTAGAGCCTTGCGAAATGCGGGAAAGAATGAAAGCTTGATTTGATATTCAAAGGCAGATGATTGTACATTTTTTTGGCATTGTACAGTATTGAACCCTTAACTAGTTCTGAGCTCGGGGTTGGCAGATAAAGATCGTGCTCTGCATTCCTAAGTGGATAGTTATGAGATGGCCTTTCGGAATAGCAGATATGTGCTTGCGGATTAAGCAAACGGATTCAAAAATGAATAAAGAAGGAAGAGTCAGTATTTTCAAATTTTTAAAGAAATTCTGGCAGTGAGTTCTACTGTTCAGTCCCATTTTTTTGTTCGTTAAGCAAATTTGACCTAACTTCTGACAAGTAGTTTCCGTTTGGATTAACCAGCGTAACAGAAGTGTTTACAAAAAATAACTATTTTATTTTGTAGATTTTTTTGCAGTGGCGAAATACCCGTATAGGCTTTTTTGGAGCAAATAATATTTCTAATTTTTTTCGATCATATCACACTTACTTGCAAACATCAACGAGATTGGTTCTTAGAAAAACATTGGCGTAAGCATTTTGATCGCCACAGAGCCCTAGGGCTATCGTCGACACCAACATATTGATGCCGTAACTCTCTGCCATGTCGGCTTTTTCGAAAAAATCTCTTTTTCCAGAAACTTTCGGAAATTCTGTAGGGTTCACTCCACGAAATTGGGCTGTTAGGGACATCTGAGTATTTTTTCCTGAAAGAATTAGGGCCAAGTTTCAGTTTTGGTTCAATTTTTTTATCAAAGCATACCGGGTGTTTTACAAAAGCCATCCTAAATAGGATGATTTAAAAAAATAGTATTCTAAATTTCAATCTAGAGTTCTATGGCTGTGTTAAAAACACTAATTTTTAATCAAGGAGCCTTGAAAAAATAGATTTCGAATTAAAAATAAAATTTCTACACCTTGTATCTCCGAAACTAAGCATTTTAGGACGTACATTTATAGGAACTTTTTTACTTTTTTTTATCTGCAGAATATGCTGCCGAAGTTTCCGGAATACAGTTCGGACCACCCTGTATATTGACTACCTTCATTTTGTGCACTAAGTAATATTGACATAATGTCATCGAAATATTGCATATCTGAGCTCGTGAATGAGATGGAAAATAGAAAGGTGACCAAAAAAAGTAAAATGAAAGTATAGAGAGGATATACATATACAAGTTTTTTTTCTTTATGTGATACAAAAACAAACGATTTAAATATTTATTTTTACCTATTACTTCTACCGGTTTGGCTTGACCAAAAAGTGGTACGGCTAAGTCAACATCTGGTCCACCTATTAAAGGTGTGTACACTGCTTGAGGGTCCAAATCTTGGTAACGTCCTAGCAACGAGTTGGCCTTAACCTACGATTAAATATAATAGAATTTAAAAAGAATCGGGCTATTTTTTTTCGTACATTTTTTCACAAAATAATTGGCTAAAAAATAGAGTCGAGAGAGCAATACAGTATAATTGAGGGGTTTCTGGCAAAAACCCCATTAGTCAGATATTTCGAAATTTGGAAAAACTAAAAAAAACGTATATCTTGCTCCGATTTAAATTTAAATTGTCGTTTTTTTTTGTGTTAGCTCTGGTTATAATCTGAAATTATAGAAAACTAGTTTTCTTGATTTTTTTCTTATTTTTAAGTTAGGAAGGGCGTGAATTTGTTTGACTTGTGGGGTTTTTGCTGGAATTTTGGCAAAAACCGTGGAAACAACCAAGTCCTCTTAGCAACTGTTCGAACGATTACGAACGACAAACAACCAAACCACAACAAGTAGCGGACTAGTGGAGTTTTTGCCGTTAAGACTTGTGATTTGTGGGGTTATTGCGGAATTACGGTATTTTTGATCATATGCACAGGCTGACTTATAGCACTTTTCCCGAATTCGTTCGGTAGGAACGTTATGACCAACAAATTACTGTCCATTAACTCATTTTACCCATTTTTTGACTAATGGTTTTTTTGTCAGAAACCCCTCAATTTTAGATCTCCATTTTGCTGCTAAGGCAAAAAACGAAATAAACTTCTAAATAGACCTTAAAGGTACGCGCACACTGACCAGAGCCGCACGCGCCTCATCGACCGACATAGATTAAATGAAGCTCTGCGGCTCTGACTAGTGTGCGCACCTTCATTGAACGTAACACAAACAATATGGTTTTGGTCGATGCGGCGCGTGCGGCTCTGGTCAGTGTGCGCGTACCTTAAGTCCATTTTAGTAGTCCGAAAAAGTAGAAAGAAACGTTCGGCATTTAACGTTTTTTAGGTATTTTTACACAAATGAGGAAGGGAATTAAAGATAAAGGATTATACTATATTCGTATTGTAGCACATTTTTAGACAACTTCTTTATTTTTAAGATTTTGATGGTCAAATATCAACAAAATATTTCTTATGTTTGGACTAAATTTTCTCGAAAATAAAGACATAATTTAAAATTCCGTTACAATACGGAAATAGATTGAAGTTTTCTGATTACAGTGATATATAATTTATATTGTTTTGTAACAAATTGCTCGCTATTTTATGGCAAATGCTGAAGCTTTGCAAGCCTTAATCAAAGCACGTGTGTTTGGAATTCTAGGTGTGGCTTTACACGACTGGATCGGGCTAAGCCTTAAGGCAGATTTCTGAAATAATATATATTTCCTTTGGCCACACACCCGCTTTACCCGACCCCTGAGAGCAACCAGAACAGTAATGGACTCTTAAAGCATTGAATAACTAAAATTAATTTACCTGAGCGAATGCTGTTGATCCAATGATCCGTCCAGGATGATAGAAATTCGACTTCTTGAAAACTTCAGTTACTAAAGGCGTTGTTACTGATACCGGAGGTACACAAACCACCAAAATAGCACGTGGTGCAAAAAGAGTACATCTCACAGCCACCTTGTGCAGTCTGCTACCTTCCTTCATGATGCGTTCACCTATGGGAGTATCTGCACTCAGATTTTCGGTTGGTAGAATTAGAACCACATCGGCACTCTAAAATCAATTTAATTCTGATAATATGTGATCAAAAAAAAGTGTCACGGTATGCCTAGAAATAACATTTAAGTTCGAGTTACTGACGTTTATAAACACTTTTATATAAATCTGTCATGTCTGTCCAACGAATCAAGAACGACTGGGACAGACAACATCCAAAAAATGAGAGGAAAGTCGATTTACCTCTGAATTAAAATGACATACAACTGTCATTGTCATCTATCCTCTCGTAGGACAGACTTTAGATATAATTATACATTTTTTCAACACCAACTTTATTAGCCGACCATACGAATAGGTATGGTATAGTAAACGCCACGAATGTTTGGGAGTGGTTTATCGCTTGATGAAGTTAGAAGCGACACGCGCGCTATCATTTTTACATTAAAAAGGTTAATTTTTACCGCAGACGTAGGTTTTTAAAGGCCCGGTCTAATCATCTGCCTGCGCTCCTCCTACTTATTCTAAAATGTTAGTGTGATTGACAAAGACGATACTATATCGCGTTTCTTTGATTGATTCGTTTTTGTGCGTCAGTCCATTGGTGTGCTTGCAGTGCGACCAGTGGGGCATTCTTTGAATAAGAAGACTAAGGAAGGAGCATATCAAAAATATTAGGTACACCGCGATGGGCCTCAAATATGGCCGACTTAAATTTCGGTTTATCAGTGCCGTTCTAATTTTATTTAAAAAATGTAAAACTATGATGTAGGGTAGACGTGGGGTAAACTCAATAATTTGTTATTTTATTTTACCTTGTGAATAAATGTTGGTAGTTATTAAAATTGTTATAAAAATATATAATTCTAATAAAAATAGATAAGTTATAATAAGTATTTATTAACACAAACATATCCGATACGCTACTGAAGCAGGTAAGTCAAATTAATGTATCAAAATTCTTTGACATCTGATCTTTGACAAGTAGTAAATAAAAGCTAAAATGCAAGAAAATATATAATTTAGTTAGAGTCTTTTTCGATAAATCGCGATAATGTCACTGTTAATTTAAGTTCTGCCACAATTTCCATCTAGATTTACTACCTTTATACAACTATCAGTAGTAGAATAAATAATAAATAACATAAAATAAGCTCCGTAAAGACTGACAAATCCACAAAATTTCAAATCAAATTCAAATGTGTCAAATGAATCGTCAAACAGAACTGTCAAGGATCCCCACCCTAGAGAGCTTTTTCCGCCCACCATGCATGAATACATGGATAGCATTATGCTCCTTCCTTAGTCTTCTTATTCAAAGGGGGCATTCCATTTTATATTTATAACCAAATATATGTTTTGACAAGACTTTGACAGTTAAAACAACAAACTACAACAGATTATAATATATTGATTATTATATGACTTGAAACACCACGGCACTGGAATTAAGTTTTATGTGACCTTGAACAGATTAGTTCACAGGGTAGCGACCGATGAATCACTCCCAAACATTCGTGGCGTTTACTATAGGCTATTAAGATCGACAAAAAAATATTTTTATGGTGTTTGTCTGTCTGTCCGTCTCTCCGTCTATAACACGATAACTCAAAAACCGCTAAACCTATTTTAACCAAATTTGGCACAAAAATACTGTGGCACCCGAGAATCTGGCCATTAGTTTTTGGTGGGGGTGGGTTTTTTTTTGGTGGGGGGTGGGTAAGGGGGTATGGGAGGAGGTTAAAATGTTTAAAAAATCGTAACTCCAAAATTACAGTAGCTAACGAAACGCGGTTTTCAATTTAAGATTAGGAATAATATTTGCAACAAAATTTGTAATAACATCAAAATCAGCCAAAGTCGCAGTTTTTGAAATAAAAAGAAAATTGGAAATACTCCTTTACTTTGAAACTAAAAGAACTGCCTACCAACTTTTTATTAGCATATTTTAGTATGGGCAGCTATACGTGCCTCCCGGCGCCATTTTTTTTAATTGATTATACAAACATTTTACTGTAAAAATTATCACAATTATTGGATTGCAACATATTTTTAAAGTCAAAATAAAAATCCTTGGTCCTGAAGTATTTTTTTAATGATATTCAAAGTGTTAATTGGATAAACTGATTAACAAATCAGTGTTTGTGTTTACTACAATTATTAAGAAAGGCATATAAAGTTTTTAAATGTTATTCTATACTATTGATATCAACAGTAAATTGTTGTTTTTGTTTTAAACCTATAATAAAAAATATTTTAGACAATATTTCCCAATCAAATCAAGCGAATATTTACTTATTTTTTGTGTCAAGATTTTGATTATACCAACTTAATTCTTAAAGTAAACAAAGTTGTAATTTTCTTAATTTAAATATCATAGATTTACATTGACAATTTTTAACACCACAGTTAAAGTTCATACCAAGTAAACTTTTAGTGACGTGATTTAGCTTAAACGGTACAGCGTTTGCCCAATTTTATATATTTTTTTTTAACCAAAATATTTTAGGAAACAAAAATAAATTAATTTTATACAGGGTGTCCCACTTAAGATGGATACAAGCCAATACCTTGGTTGTTTGTTGAGCGATCTTTTTCATTTTTGGCAGGAGGCTGTATGGCTATAAGATATATGTATATTTTGCCCAGGGTAAGAAATACGATACTTCATAGACGTACGTTTTAATGGGGTTTGATATTTTTCGAGTCAAGAGTAAACTACCCTTAGGACAGTATTTATTTCAAATATGATAAATTATATTGAATCCTCTTTACCTAAGATAGTTAAGTTCTAATTTTGATAAATATTGATACAGGATGCGTCAATAAAATAAGACATTTTTATTTTTATTATTATTTTTTTAAGTACTTACGACGCCACTGGATAAAACAGGTTTATTATCAATAACCAATTATCAATTAATAATCCATTTAAGTTTTCAGATAGCTTCCATAATAATTAAGATACGATACAAAAAACCTAAATATTTTCAATTTATTTTATTTACTTTAAAAAATTGTGTTTTTTAGGTTTGCTAATACAAATGAATAAAATGAGTTACAAAATAATTTAAAACCCCAGTTTTCAATGGAATCTGAAATATGATTTTTATTCGTTTTATTGAGGAATATTTAAAAAAATCCAAATAGTTAGATATTTAAAACAATCACTATTAACTTTGAAAAATATGCTCTAAACAAAGATTTATAAAACTATAACGAACTAAAAGTCAACTTCTTCGACCAAATCACCATAAAAAACGATTATTACTTGATAATTGGTTATTGATAATAAACCAGTTGTTTATCCAGTGGCGTCGTAAGTACTTAAAAAATAATAATAAAAATAAAAATGTCTTATTTTAATGACACACCCTGTATCAATATTTATAAAAATTAGAACTTAAGTATCTTTGGTAAGGAGGATTCAATATAATTTATGAGATTTGAAATAAATACTGTCCTAAGGGTAGTTTACTCTTGGCTCGAAAAATATGAAACCCCATTAAAACGTACGTCTATGAGGTATCGCATTTCTTACCCTGGGCAAAATGTACGTCTTATAGCCGTACAGCCTCCTGCCAAAAATGAAAAAGATCGCTCAACAAACAACCAAGATATTGGCTTGTATCTATCTTAAGTGGGACACCCTGTATGTATAAACTATATTTATATTATTTACATCAACAAAACTCACCTTCTTAGCAGCACTTAAGGGACATAAAGGGCCATTACTACCGCTTTCCCGTTCAAAATATTCTAAGTTGCGATGAGTTTTTACGGCTATTAAGCTATCTTGTTCACTTCGCACTATAAGAGGTTCTAAAAAGAACAATGTTCGACTGCAAAACATGTTCAAGCTTAAAGTATCACAACACTGTTGATTTAAACCAAAAACTCGTAATACAACACTACAGACATGTCAGGAAATAAATAAATAAATGCGGCAACTTGACATTTTTTACAGCAGAGCTACCACCTGAATATCTTCATGGTTGGCAACAATGAATTTAATCGATTACGTAACTAAAAGTTTAGTTGATATGAAATATATAAAAATTAAAACAATTACTCGTAATACTAATCCCTACCTTGACAGCTTTTTCCACACCAGAGTCCATGCCACAATACGAATGTACAGCACAGCTGGTGTCCATATGACTCAAATCCTTGCCTATATTTTCGACTCCCAAGCATCCTTGAAGATGAAGCGCTGAAATCAGGGGATTTTGCTTCAACAAGAAGCTGGTGTAAGTGCCAAGTCGCGAACCGGCACCCAAAATGGATACTTGGACGGATTTCTGGTACTCGGGCTGAGTGCACAAAGATGAAACCAGATTATTGTTGTAAACTAGACAAGAAAATGTAAATACGATTAGAAAAAATATCAGGAATTGGTTAGTTTAGATGTAGAAGATACTTACATGATTTTAGAACCTGCCTTGGGATCATTTTTTACGTAGAATTTTGATTGAGGTGAAATGTGATTTTTCTTGGTATATTTTTTGATGTGATTTAAAATTGATGTCATATCAGATGTCAAGTTTGAGTTACGGTTTAGAGTAATGTCTCTGACGTATATTATTACAGGGCAAATTCAAAAAACATGTGCTATCTCCCCATATAAAATACGACGATTCTGCTTTGTTTGGTAGCTGCAGTGAGTTTCGAGTAGCCTTTATTAAAAAATGTCCATACCTATGTGGCGGATTCATCTCTCCAAAAAAATCCTTTATGGGTATTTCGCCACTGCACTGCAAGAAAAATCTACAAAATAAAATAGTTATTTTTTGTAAACACTTCTGCGTTAAACCTAAACGGACACTGCTTATCAGAAGTTATGTTTACAGTAATAAAAATTTGCCTAACAAAGAAAAAATGCTTAACGTTTCGGAAAGTTTATCTCTTTCTGTCGTCGGAAGCAAAAAAATTTCTCGAATAGTTGAATTTAAATATTTTAAATAGTTTTTTTCTTTATTCTTTGTATTTTTTTGCTTCCGACGACGGAAAGAGATAAACTTTCCGAAACGTTAAGCATTTTTTATTTGTTAGGCAAATTTTTATTACTGTAAACATAACTTCTGATAAGCAGTGTCCGTTTAGGTTTAACGCAGAAGTGTTTACAAAAAATAACTATTTTATTTTGTAGATTATTCTTGCAGTGCAGTGGCGAAATACCCATAAAGGATTTTTTTGGAGATAAGTCTTTATTTTTTCTCAAGTGCTTTTAGCAATTCGAATGAAATTTTGCGGGTAAAAGTTATTATAAGTGTAACATACTTTAATGCTAAAAAAGTGTGGACAGGTTCACCAGGGACGTGCATATGGCTTATCACTGGAGTATTTTTCTAAAAAAAACTCTGTGCCACTGACTCTGTTTTACTGTTGCAGAGAGTAGGCTGTTTTAATGCTGATTAAATGTTATCTCTTGCTTTTGTCGGCTTTAATTCGATGTCTTTGGGCAAATCCAAGTTTTTTGTTCAAGAGTTAGTTCAGTTCTGGAAATGTGGAGTCAAAACAACAAGCTCCATCCCAGAAAATTATGGTCCACATAGTTTCTCATTTTAGTCCGCTATTTCAGAAAAAATAATTGTTGATTAAACTTTTCTTTATACAAACGTTAGACTACTACTCATAGCTTGGAAAAGTTTCCGAACATTAGAACTTACTTTGGAATAATTTAAATAGTTTTTAGCGCGTTACAATAAATGGACTCGAGTTTTTGAATGGAATAGCAACGAAATTATTTCATTTATTCATATTAAATTTTATAGTTTTTTAGGTCAACAGAAAATACCCTATAAATTTTGATTCCCTTGAAGGTGTCGAAATGTTTATATACCGGGTGCGTCTCGGAAGTGACTCACCCCTATAACTTTTTTGTTTTTTCAGATAAAAAAGCGAGATTTGGTATGTTAGTATATGACATAAATTAAGATTGATTGGCGGATTCAATTGTTTTTGGTCACTACCTGTTTCACCGGAAATAACTACAACCTTTGATTTTTAAATGGCACTCTTGGTATTTTTTTACTTTAATCAATATAAAATGACATTCTGAATAGAATGACATATCACATGTCAACTTTTGACATTCTCGCTTAATAATAAATCTTATTTTAATTTTTAATCTAGAGTGCCATGGCTATGTTAAAAACACTAATTTTTAATCAAGAAACCTTGGAAAAATAGATTTGATGGTATAATGTTGTCCTGGCCGGTTAAAAATACTCAAATCGTATTTTTGATCATATCTCAGTATTTTCAAATGGAACGAGGATGGCTCATTAGCATATTTTGAAAATGAATGAATAATTTGATACCACACAGTATTTCGAGTCAAATTTTCGTTACGAACCGCAAGTTATAATTTCAAATAAACTATATGCGAAAATGTCAAAAATTGAGATATGATATGCCATTCTATTATGAGTGTTATTTTCTATCAAATAAAGTAAAAAAATACCGAGGGTGCCATTTAAAAATCAAAAGTTGTAGTCATTGGTGAAAGAGGCAGTGACCGAAAACAATTGAATATGACAATCAATCCTAATTTATGACATATACTAACATACCAAATCTCGTTTTTTTAACTAAAAAAATAAAAACGTTATAGGGGTAAGCCACTTTTGAGACGCACCCGGTATATATAATAGAAGGATGGCGTGGGTCCGATTCGAATAGGTCCCGCGCCCACAGTTTAGGCTATTCTTGAGGTCGGCCATATAGGATCCGCCATCTTGAATTTTGCACACCCCACGTCAGATACGCAATCAATGCCCATTTGACATCAGATTCGCGATCAGCGATCTAAAAAACTCCCACATACTGATTTTGTTCAGATCCGTGGATTTTTTGAAATTCGCATCGGCCATATTTGATCCGCCATTTTGAATTTTGCGGATCCGACGTCAGATTCATGATCAGCGACCTAAAAAAGACCCGTTTTCTACTACATTTTCCTGAATTTAATGAAATACTTTAATCATATACGAGCTTTGTAATACACTTTTTTTTAACTTAGCATATATTATATAGCTACTTTCGTTTCGTATAGTAAGATTATTACTATTAATATTATTTGTATTTTGTATGCGTAAACTCCAAAACGAACCAGAACATATAAATAAAAATACGTTCAGAAAGTAAATATCGCAGAAGCTTAAATAAACTAATATTTCCAGCCGACTGGAAAAACCACTGGATATACCCATAACCGTAAAAATATAAATGTATCCAGAAATCCTAAATAGAGCCGTAAAAGATCATCCCATTAGCTCGCTCCAAGCAGGAGCAATTCCCTATTTTATGATGCTCGCAAATTTGCCGCATATTAAGCAAAGTATTCCCGCGGGATAGTGTCGGGAAAGTTGATGTATGTGCGTTTTCTCAATTTGTGCGCCCATAACGCCAGGACGAGCTAAAGAGAAATAGCACAGTTTGCTAAAAATAACGTTTTAATATAGGACAAATAAATTGAAGATTTATTTAAATAAAACTAGTCTAGAGTCTTTTTTCAAACTCCTCCCTATAACATTTGGGTAAACTTCACCGGGAATTGACCGGCATTCTGCTATAATTCGCATTTTAAGATCATGAATATCAGTAGGTTGTGTTTTATAGATTTAAGATGTCCCCGAAGAAAGAAGTCTAAGGGTGTTAAATCCGGTGATCTTGGAGGCCATGCAATTGGTCCACTTCGGCCCATCCACGTACCCGGAAATCTCTCGTTTAACCACTGTCGGACCGGAAGAAAATGAGGTGGAGCACCGTCCTTCTGGAATGTTAACAATCCTCCTGATTGCCCACTACATCAATTTGAGTTTCTAGCTCTTGGGTGATAAAAGGATCAATAGTCTGTTGAAGCATATTAAGATGCAGATCACCTGTGTTTCCTTCAATAAATAAAGGACCAATTCGTTCAAGAATTTCCCAAAAAAAACCAGCCCAAACATTAACTTTTTGGGGATATTGTGTATGTCCTGCTCGAAAAATATGAGGGTTTGAGCAAAATAATAAATAATTTGAGACATAAAACGTTAATGGTTATGATGTTTTCTGTTTTGTAACGTTTTTAGTTCGTTACATGTATTTTTTTATTTATATATATTTTTTTATATATTACATGTATTTTTTTATATATATATGATGTCTGGCGTATCGTCATCGGATTCCGTATCGCTCAGGCCTGATAATTTATTTGGCACGCTTGGCGTAATTTTTACGTTCCCTAGTCGCCAACCCTGTTATCGTTTCACTGCTCTGTGGAGGCGCTGTCAACATCGCTTCAAGGTTAGGTCAGGGGGGTGACAGTGAAATAGGAAAATTGGAAACAGTCATTAGTGTCATTCCTGTCATTCTCCTCACGACAAGTATGGCCGCCTAGACAAGGACAGCATTGTTTTTGTCCAACTATTGTCTAACTTCACAGTTTAGAATTGACAGATTTCAGTTTCAGAGACAACTTCAGATTTGTTCTAGAACAAATTCGAAAATTGTGTCGAAAATATTCGACGCCATTTTAATTCATTCCGTTTAGTTTCGTTTTGGAAGTTCAATTTAATATTTCGGCTGAAATTTATAATTATAAAGGTAATAAAGTATATAAAATATATATTACATGAAGAATCCTGGAGAAAATGACGTTTCTGCCGTAGTAGGTATGTCCCATGTATATGAAAAATAGGTAGTAAATAAACACTGTTTTTACATTTTTTAGATGCAAGAAAATGGTGTTATAATCTCTTTGATCGGCGATTTTTTTGAAAATGGAAACAATTTACAGCAAGGTAAGATCATTTTTAACTATAGCCAACATCATTTATCTCCAATATGTGCGATTTATTGTCAATAATGCAATAAATCGGACTGATAATCTGATTATGTTATCCGACTAAAAGTCTCTTTTTGCTTCTTTTTGATTTATAAGCCAGGTCTCTTTGGGAATAATGGACGCTTTTTTAAACAGTATATTTATATTTTATACCTATTGATATTTTTAGATTGTTAATTTTAGTATAAAAAAATTTGTTTTTCTGTTTTCAGGTTTTTGTATAAGGCTCCCGTTTTCATGTCCCTGTGTCCGTTTTCTGTCCTTGAAGTCTGCGAATACGTGTGTTTATTTACAAATTACTGTAAGTCATGCTTATACCTTAACTAATTTACGTTAAAAGTACATATAATTAACTAATTGGTATTGAAACAATACAATCCTCTATATTTTTATGTTTATTTAGTCACGTTGTTCCATACTTCAAATAAATATATGTGAATAAATTATTTTTTGGTTTTATTTATGAAAAGAAAAAATACAAAATACATTTGAACTGAAAGAGGACCCGCCATTGAATAACCGGAAACGGAAATGAAAATTAAGCCATCATGTCCTTATCATGTCAACCTGTCAATTGGAAAATTAGTTCTCCAGACGACAACGAAGGCTTTCGGTGGCGTATCGTGTTTCCACGATTTAACACAGAGTTGACACTTCTTTCTAGTTAATTATTTTATGGGTTAGGTCGCTCTCCGCGCTTAACCTCACTTT